AATCATCAGAAATTATTAGATGATAAGTACGGATAGATATTAATTGGTCATTTATGCATTTGCTTTTATACATACTTTTACGCTAATTAACCATATTTATCTGATTTTTATCAGTTTTATAATTATCATAATTGTAATATGACGAAACTAATTCAAATTAGACATCGATATTTTCGAGTTCGTATATAAATAGTATGATTGAGTTTATATACCAACTTGGTTATCTTTGTGTGCATCACGTGTGATTTTTAATAATTATTAATTATAAAAGGATTTCAAATTTTAAGAGGTGTAATTATTTAGAGACATTTTTCTTATTGTCCCTTTATTCATGCTCATTGGATCTTTAATATGATCAAATATTTCTTACTTAATAGTTTGATAGTATTACATTTTATTTTGTATTGAATTAGTGTTTTAAGATTTTTTTTAAACTAATTTTATTTGTCAAAAAATAAGTAAAATTTGATTAAAGATTAATTTCATCAAGGATTGAAGTTAGACACTATTCAAATGATTCGACTTTGAGTTTAGCACATTAATCACTTGTACTTAACTCTTTATTAGTTAGTAGAATGTTAAATTTTAAGATTGTTAAACGTCTTATATGATATATAGACATGAATAAAAAAATAATAAATTGTATATATCTATAGTTCTATATTATTAATAAAGGAGATTATTCATTTAGTGTCCATATTTTTGGACAAATTTTCCCTCATAACTACCTTTTATCCAATCTAACAATTTTTTTCTTTTTTTATTTATTATTTATCATTTTTAAAAATAATTCTTGGAAGCATGTAGTACCTTTTGTATGCTACTGTTAATAAAAAAAATAATATGTTGCATATATGTCTTCTCTCATTAAAAAAAACATGTTGGATAAATTATTTTTATAATAAATTATTTTATATTGTAATTTTAATTAAGGAATAAATTGTACTCCTGAGGTCTTTTTAAATAATACAAGTGACATTATCTGTGCACTATTAATAGAGAACAAATTAATGCAAGTGATAACAATTGAATATGACTCGATCTCATACTTAATTTTAACTTCCAAATTATAACTTAAATATCATGTATATTGTAATTTAAAAAATATACCAACTTTAAAAAACAAATTCAAAAAAGGGGTTGTGAAATTACTATCTTCAAAATTGAAGAAAGAATATTTTCATAAAAAGACAAAACATTCTACATAATTCAAAAGTGAAGCACACATATATGTGATTGATAAAAAATAAATTCTTTTATTTTTTTCTTCTTTCTCTTGCTTTAACTAATAATGTTATTTTAAGGGAGATGAATAATTTGCATATGTGTATCATTTAAACAAACTTCAGAGGAGATGAGTGCAATTTTCTCTTAATTAAATGATAAAAATCATCTAATAATTATATCTATGTAGGTAAAAAAAAAATTTACATCCTACAATTTTTTATGTTCAATTTTTATCATTAAATTTAAAAATTGTGTTACATCATGTAATCTTCAATTAGTCTTAAAATATAAGAAAATATGATTCATTTAATTTTCATTGTTCATTATTTACATACAAGACTTTACAAATTATGTTTTTTTATCTGGTCAATTAATTGGATCAAAAACTATTTTTGTTTGTAATATTGTAACTATCGTACGCGTTAATCAACTTAATTAGTTTTCACATTTGATAAGTATCAAAAACGAATTCTCCCCTAAATAGATCATCACCATAATATGCACATGCATGACTTAACCATTATGTCAACTATCATGTTACTTTACACAATAATATGTAAATATGGATTGCTAAAAAATCATATTATAAATTAAATTATTGAATGATGTGTGAATGTTAAGTCTTAATATACTGTCCAATTAAAAAAAATTATAAAGAGGACACTGAAAAATCAAATTTGTAAATACACATAAATGTTAAATTCTTATGTATTTTTTTTTCAATTTTTATTATTAGATCGATCCTAATTAATCATTAGGTTCCATTCTTACACAATTTTAAAGTGGTCCTTCTTTATATATTTGTTTGACAATATATTTATCATCAATTATTAATTATGAAAATAATTTTTATATTTGAATATACTGTATAAAAAGCAATTTTAAGATAATTTATTTGATGTTGAGTGTTTAGCTGACCTTTTACACCCAATAGGAATTGAACATAAAATTTCGTACTAATTATTATTAGATTATATAATGTAAAGTGCTTAAATATCACGTGAGGCGAATGAGTTAGACTTTCTCTTCTTCTCTGGATATAATAATTATTAAAGTTTTCTTTAAATACATTTAATTAAGATACAACTTATAGAAAATACTATTGTGTTTTGCATGATTGCGGAGTTTAAATTAAGCAATCGAGTGTGTTTAGGTGGTAATGGTAAGTAGAAAAAAAATAGACACGGTTATGATTGGCTGGACTGCAAAATTCAGAGACATATTGGAGGTTGGATGATTTCAAATGTGTTGTTGGTGAGAACAAATTGCATAGAGGTCAAAGTATGTATTGAGGACTATAGTGATTTTGCCGTGTACCAATATTTTCATATTTCAAAGGCATCATTAAATGAGCAGAACTATGCCATACCATTGCACACTTAAAGACCCACCATACCAGATTTCCTGTGGTCCCAAGCAATGCAGATATATAGTAAAAATAAATTTTATTACTTCTTTTATACATGTTTAAGAATAGAAAACAAGCTAAAAATATTTTAATTATCTTTATTTTTAACTTGCAACATGTCATAAATCTTAAGGAAGACTTAAAATAATAGTTTTTCTTTAAAATTTAATTTTTTAAAGTATGATACTCCATAGTATTAGTTACACTTTCTATGTTAAAAAGCTGAATTTAAAAAAAAAAAATAAAAAAAACTTCAAAAGAAAATTATGGTTATCTCTATTTCACGTCTATGGTTGAACAAAAAAGGAAAAACCCCGATATGTTATGCGTTGGATCATGCGATGCTTCATTGTCTGCATCAAACTGAAAGATGAGAATACGAGACAAATACCTAAGCTAGGTTCCATGAACCATTTTAAGAAGCTTGATGTTAGTTAAGAAAGTTATAACATAAGGTATAGGTTCTCTTAAAACTTGAGGAGAATGTGCAATGCACCCACAAACACTACTTAAACAGCGACCCAACACTATTTTTGGTCCTCCGAGGATGCTAGATTTGTTGTGTTTCCTCAGCAGATTGTTGTTCCTCTATTTAGTAGCGTGATATTTGTATTGTCATTTACATCAAGCTATTATGGATGGGAGAATCATTGAATCCATTTTCCAGTAACATGTTTCCTGTTTTGGATAATCACGTACGTTGCTAGGAGACATTATGATTGGGAATTGAATTGCATGCTTTTAGTTCATTGCATCTTCTTCTTCGTTAGAGAGGTTTTCTCAAACCTTATAATAGTAAACTAGAAAGACTACTCCACATGTCACAAAATGCATGAGTCTCGCTAAATTCGAGGCTAAGAAACATAATGGATTTAGTACATTGTCGTTCTTATATCGGTAGGTGAGACATTATCGTATTATTAGAGTTGTTGATCTTTCTTTACATCTCGAGATAAAACAATCCATGTGCACATTCAATTAGAAGGAAAGAAGAAAAGTATGCAATTGGAGATAATTGATTAAAATGTCAAAGACTGAGTTGATATTTATAGTCTTGTTCCTGAGGACTGCAAATTATATTTTTAAACAGTAATCGGATATATTTAAAAAGTCTCGTTTTGAATGTCATTCTAAACTGACTTCGAAGTATACAAAAAGTTAATAGGTTACAATATTCACAATGTTCTAAATATGGATATCTTAAAATTTATA